ATAAATAATTATAAATCAGTCTCTTATAATTAAAGTCAAAATTTTTCTAACACAACCTTTCAAGTAGTTATAAGTGATTTTGTAGGGAACACTTTAGCACAATTGTTGCCGCTGAATTTGTTTTAGCCTGCATACTAGTTGAACGATAATCTTAAAATAAGTGTGAAGAAAAGAAACGCTTCTGACTTAGCGTAGAATAACCAATATTTAAGCTAACATTTTCTTTTAACTGTCGTTAGAAAGTTCTAGTCTGGCTCTAAAAATTTTATTATGGTTGAAAACCGCTTGCTATATGAAAAACAGTGAAATTTTTTTTTGAAGTGGACGATAATAATTTTATTCGTGTAACGTTTATATTGAATGACATTTGATCTGCAATGTCCCGCGACTAATATATTAATTAAAAATTTTGAATCTTTGTATGCGTGTAAATAACAATATATAAAATGACTACTCGATTATCTAAAGATTTAAATAAACTTCGTAAAACAGGAAAAAATTATGATATAATAATTTTAGCTGGCGATGATCAAAATAACAAAGAATTCAAAGCTCATTCGATAATTCTTTGTGCACGATCTGAATATTTTGTCACTGCTCTGTCACAAAATTGGGTTCAACAACAACCAGAAGAGAAGGCAAAAGGAAAGGAAGATGCAGGCAGTAGTGATGGTGGTAGAAATGGTGGTGATAATGAAAAAAAATCATTATTCTATAGGAAACCAAATATTTCGCCTTATCTGTTTGAAATTATTCTAGAGTAAGAAAAAAGACAATATAATAACAACAATGATCATAATAATTATTCATAATCATAATCATAATAATGATCATAATAATTTATCTAATCATTAATTATTTAATTATTTAGATATATTTATACAGGTATAATTGATTTAACAAATTTACAATTATCAAATATTTTGGATCTTTTATTAATAGCTGATGAATTATTACTTGATGAATTGATTGATGAGATCCAACATTATCTTGTTAGAACCAAGTCTACCTATATTGAAGATAAAATGTCAATTGTTTTTCAACTAGTCGTAAAACTTAAATCATGCAACATGCTACAAAATCATTTATTAGAAATAATTAGTCTCAATCTAAGTCAGTACATTGAATCAGATGATTTTTTGACATTGGAGTATTCAGCTGTTGAGTTGATCTTGAAACGTGATGATTTGAATGTTCAAGAGGTTGATCTATGGAATTTTTTGATAAATTGGGGAATGGCTAATTCTAACAGATTGTATGATGATGAACTTGATAAATGGACAACTGCTGATTATGAAGAGTTGCAGTCACAAATTAAAAATTTGATTTGCTTAATCCGTTTTACCACAATGAAAAGTCATGAATACTCTCGAAATGTCTATCCTTATAGAAAATTGTTGCCTAAACAATTGAAAAACCAGTTGTATTTGCATTTTTTGGATAGTGAGCACCAGACAACTGAAGAAAAATCACTGATACCATTATCACCTCGTACCTTACCACCTCAACCACAAATCAACTCATTATACATCAACAATCATGCCGCTTCATTGATTGAAAGTTACATTAAATGTAAAGAAAATCACAATACAAAGTCTTGTTATATGGAATATAATTGGCAGTTGATTTATAGAGCAAGTCGGGATGGTTATAGTGCTCATAGTTTTCATAAAAAGTGTGATAGCAAAGGTGCATGTGTTATTGTCGCTAAAATACTTGGTGAGGAGGCTGATATTATTGGTGGCTACAATTCTAGTAAGAAAACATCATTGATGAGTAGGCCTTTTTTATTTTAATTTAATAATTATTATCACTCCCTCCTAAAAATAGTTGGATGGCTTGAATCCAATGGAACATATTCAAGTTGTGATGATAGCTTTATCTTTAATTTCAATGAAGATTTATCAATAAAAAATTTGAGTAGAGTATTGACTTATTGCTCCTCAAAAGCAATATATCAATATTCAGAAACAGGTCCAACTTTTGGAGCTGATGATTTTACAATAGGTGACAATTTAAAAAATTCAAAGTGTAATACTGACTTCTATTATGAAGATACTATATGCCTAGATGTTATTCAAGTTCTAGATTATGAAGTGTTTAGAATCACCAAAAATGGGTAATATTATTATTGTTATGATTGTTATAACTTCCATTACTATTATTATTATTAATTAATTTTTTCTTTTTTAATTCGTATTAATTTTAGTTGATTGATTAAACATATATTCTTGTGCATTTGTGCATTTATTAGATGGATAGATAGATTTATATATAAATTTTTGTATATCTTCTCATTCTATAACAGCAATAATAAATAATTGTTATTAATTAATGTTGTTAGATTAGCTTATAATTTTTCTTTTTAGAGATTTTAATCTTCTTTATGGTATGACTTCTGAATGTGGTAAATTATCATTCATTAGTTGATTTACTTTTGATGTTCTTTATTACTAATAATAACCAGTATGACACCCCCCTAATGTCAAATAAAATTTTATTTGAATAAAATGAATAAAACAGATAAAATGGAACAACACCCAATAAATAAATAATTGTAATATATATATATATATATATGCACATCACTAATTCAACCATTTTTCTTCATCAGTTCTGTTTTCTACATAGTCCTTGTCGAGTGGCAAAGAATGATTAGCATTTTATTATTTATTTATTATTATTATGTGGTTCTTAAACAAGTCATTGAAGTATTTGTATAGTAATAAATTACAAATATTAAATGGAAAAATCTTTTTGTAGAAAAAAATAAAATAATGAATAGTTAGAAAACTTTTTTGGTAACAACAGGATCATTTGTAAATTAATGTAAACATATCCTTTGTCAATATTTTTCTTTCATCACTATCATGTTGTTCTACAGGGTCAAGGCTATGTATAAAGCAATTCATGCAAACAGTTGACTAGTTCTTTTGTCCTGGCTACATCATTATTATCAAATTTATCTGTTCCTGTCAAACAAGGACAAAGAGTTTCACTTCTTCCAATTGCAACCAATGATATCTGGTGTTTTTGTCTGTAAAATTTCCTTTTTATTTTTTTTTAAAAAATTTTCTTCACCCCATAACTTCTTTTGGAAGTTTCTGTTGTGATTATGTCATTATTCAAAATTCCTTTGCTAGACTCAATGAACTGCATTCTAATCCTAGTTGGATATGGATATCCTCATCAATTTCTGAAAATGTAGGTGTCAGTTTTGATGCAGTTGACTCTGCAAATCTATCATCATGTTTTCTGTTTTTGATAGATAGGAGAATATAAGAAAAAAGCCCTCATCAAGAAAATAGCCACCTTCTTTCTTCAGCAGTGCAGGTATTATAATATCAATCCCTTTCTGATTCCATTTGTATATTATTGCAATGCCACAAAGTAAAAATTGATTTTTTTTGTTGGTGTGTATGTAATGGCCACAAAGCTTGTGAAGAAAATTTTGGCATCAGCCAAGTTTTCAACATCATTTTGATTGAAAAGATGACTGCTAAACAATCCATATCATCATCTGAAATTTCTTGCTGCTTTTTTGCTCCATTACAAATTTAACAAAGTCAATTCCAAATAAATTTAGCAATGAATGAATAATGATTGATAATAGTACCAAGCTCACAAATGTGTGCACAAATATCCCAAGACCTCCCTCATCAATATAATATGTGCACCAAGTTCACCACAAAAGCCTGCCTCCACACACAGCTTTCATAAGGTCATCAAGCAGCATACAAACAGGAAAGCTTTCTATCAATTCTGCAGCTGCTTCTGTTAAGATTGGTTCTATCAGATAATTGCTGGTCACCAGTATTTGATCATGTGAAACAAACCACACACATGCATAGGCTAGCAACCAACTCAGTTGACAATTGAAAAAGTGGTGATACATTAAAAGAAATGTGGATAGCAAGAATTGCCAATGTTGATGCATGGTCAAGTTTCTCAACACCCTCAATAACTTTTCCTCCTAAAATTTTGTTATATGCAAGATGAACAAGCCTTTGAAGATGGGTTTACATTTCTTCATGTCCTCATTTTTCAATATGAGCACCCCACATTGGCTGACCATACTGCCCTATAAAAAATAACATACACAGTAAGTCTCAGTATAGTGGACTTTGGTATAGCAGATTTGGGGGTTTAGCAGATAAATTTTCAAAACCAAATTTTTCTATAACAATTTTATCTCGGTTTAACAGATTTAATGGATTTTTCATATAAATTCAGTTTACAGGATATTTTTAAAAATTCATATATGTCACTTATATTTTTCTCGATATTACGATAACGATGATCTTTACTATTTTGGGCTAATATGAGTAATGACGCGCAATTATTAAATATTAATATTAAGAATGCAATACATCCTTAATCTAACATATTTCTAGCTATTTCTTGGCAATGACACTATCAATATGTCATTTTCTTTTATTTCTTTATATGCTAAAATTGTAAATATTGTAAAAGGACAAAGTGAAGTTGATAAAAATGAAACAAATGAAACAAATGAACCTGAGCTGATGATCATTAATATGGAGGATATAAAAGCTCCGGAAACGATACTTAAATATGTACTATTAATTTTATTACCATATCGGTAATCTGGAGAAATTCATATTTGAGAACCTAAACATGTATTTTTACATTTACATTTATTATTATATTTATTATTATATTTATCTTTAGATTATGGATCATACTTTCCGGGAAGTCTGTTATTTATTATAATTCTAAAGATTGTAAAATTATTATTTAATGATATAATGAACAACGAAATGAAGACAACTTATATGTATAATTCATATAACTCTTGTAATTTTACAACAATAAAATTACTTGTTCGTTAATAATTGTAATAAATTATTTGAACATTTACAAATATAGTGTAATTGGTAATAATTAGTAATGTTATAATTAAAAAAAACGTTACAAATTAAATCACAACACTTAGAGCCAATCAATTAGAGATTTAATAAACAGATAATTGTGATATCAATATATCAATATGATAAATATTAACCAAATTGTCAGTAAAATGATGGAAATCTTATAACAGATAATAAACATTTTTATTAAAAAATTGCAACACTTTTAAACTTCAAATAAATTTCTTATTTGTTGCTTTATCATTCTGCTCTTGTTTAGTATTGCATCTTTAGTTCTAAATAACCCCAATTGACTAAGTTTTCTAATATTGATTTTTTTATCTAAGATAAATTCTATGATAATATTCATCTCATGTTGTGACCATTTTTTTTTTCTACAAGAGTCTTGATTAGATTCTTGTACTATCTGATGTTCATTTTGATAAGTTACTATTTGATGATTGTCTTGATCATCAGGTACTTGTACATCTTGATCAAGCTCCATTTGAAGATCATCTTGACTAATTATTTGAAGAACATCTGGAACATCTTGACTAATTATTTGAGGAACATCCAGAACATCATGACTAGTTGTTTGGGAAACGTCTGGAACATC